GAATTATGAACAACAAGTGGTTGATCAATTTTGGAACAATGAAAAAAGGCATTTCGTGATTATGTTGCTGATAACAACTGAATATATCATTAGATTGACTTCAAATTTTGTATACGTAGACTACAGACCATGAACTAATTAGTATAGGACAAAAACCAAACGGTTCTAGCTTATTTAGCTTCTGAGATATGAACAAAACAAAAAAATTGATTAAGGTGGTTGATCAATTTTGGTACCCACTGTATGTGAAACAGTTGTTGCATTAATTAATAATAAAATCAATTCCCGTAATATAATTAGATGAAAAAAGATCGAAATGTTTACTTGATCATGAACAAAAATCCTCCAAGTACAATCATCATACGAAAAGTTTATTTTGTAATATTGGATTAGAACAATCAAGCACAAAATCTTTGAATTACTTTAAATAAAGTATAAACAGATATCAGCACTCTACTTTCAACTCTCAAGATAAGTGAGCTTAAGTTTCGTTAAACAACATGTGCCTTCGCATAGTTAAGAAGCATTTTAAACGAAAAAGCGAGAAAACTCGGCTAATATTCTTTATTAAGAGAAACTCGATACAAGGTCCGACTTATATTCCAAAAATTCATTGTATTTTTTGTTATTTTATATGATTTAAGAATATTCGTCACCCGGCGTTTGTCGATGATGAGTATCTTTTCTATCTTTCTCGTGCGTTACACACACTCTCGCACCGCTACACTACAATCGTCATAATATTATGATTTTAACTCTTCGATTGCGTTTCATTTTTTTTCTTTCTTAATATAAATAGGATGAGCATTGCCTTATAACACATATATTCGTTTTTTCCTTTCTGTTCTCACCATTACATCGTGTGCACTTTGTTTTCCTTTAAACAAGAAGCAAAATGTCTGTTACAAATATTGATCAAGCTAATGTTGGTGAAAATTTGCTTCAACATCAGCAAGTGTCTGAAGCGAAAAATAACGTATGTACTATATGTGATACAAAGGATGCTCATGAAAAATGGCTTCGTTATAACGAGGTATGATTCTATTTACGTTTGCTTTCATTGACATAAGAGATAAAAACTTCATGTGTAACACAAACTCTGACTTTCTTCAGATATCTATAGCGTTCAATTGTTTTTCGTTTGAAATGACGCAGCAACATCTCGGTAATAGATATGTTATGATTCCAACACATCTTAGTATTGTGAATATCAAGTGTTTAAGTTTTTCATCATAAAATGTATTGCCATGAATTTCATTTTCTCGTTAGTTGATTGCACAAGGAACAATAGCAAAGTACGATATAGAAGGTAGTAGTAAATTGGTATTGATGCTGTACACAGTAGAGGATGCCGATTGGCATATAATATTCGAAGAAATCAATAACAAAGAGCATCCAGTGCGAAAATTAGAATTACGACCAAGATACATCGACAGTGAATTGGTCGAACCTGGTTTCATCGAATTAACAAAAGCTATTAAAGATTGTACAGTATTTATCAAGGTCAGACTTTATTTTGGTTCCTTTTCAGCGAGTAAAAAAAAAATGACTGTTTTATTGGAAACACTGAACAACAATCAATCCATCAAACATTTATGACTGATGTTAGAAGATTGGGTCTTAGCAGTTGCGCGTGCATTCAGGCAAATATTGACGGACAGTCGAACTTTGCTTTCTCTCAGCGTTTTCACCTCTGACGAATCAGAAGAGTCCCATGGGTAAGTAAATCTGTCATAGATCAAAGTATTGTTATATACTACTTTGCTGTTTATGTTTCAGATCTACTCCCTCAAC